CCACCAAGCTCATCCAAGGCCGAGGACGTTTCATTGTCGTAGGCCTCCTAGGTCTAAGCAACAACAACTAGCTCGGGACAGTGGTGCAGCGCTCTCCACCAGAAGACATTGAAGCATGCTTCGTAGGAAGATGGAGCATATTGATCCATATCCAACTGAAGCTCCACCGAGGTCTTGTACCACAACACTACCTCCTCGGTGGCCTCCTACTTCAGTCGTTCCCTCTTCGCCTTCAATTCGGTGATCTCGTTCTTTAAACCGCGAACCAACTCTACTTGCTCGGCCACCTCCTTTTCCAGTTCAGCAATTCGCTTCCTAGCTGCCTGAAGCTCGGCCAATTGCGCCTTCAACTGCAGGTACTCAAAATGTTCCTTCTCATACCACCCCTGCAACTCTCGAAGGCGGTCAACTACAACCACGGTCGAACATGCGTTCTGCAGACACCAAAAGCAGTGTTAGCACGAGGAAACACACTCAAAACAAACAGAGATACTTAAGTATGAACTTACCTGAGCTGCAACCTGGATGAGCGAGCACTCTAATGTGTTGCTCCCAGAATTCTTGGCCTCTTCAGTGATGTAGGCCTTCATCATCCCACAGAGCAGCTACTCGGGAACTCTGAGCTACTGCTGGTACCCACCTCGACTTGCATAGGGAAAGCCATCGGATGAGCTTCCCCGGGTTCCACGACCACCACGTCCTCGTCATCGTTCCCTCACCGCCGAGCTCTCTTCTGCCGGTGAGGCACCCTCTCGGAAGACCTTGGGGGAGGAACTACCTCGGCACGGACTTGCGGTACCGCGCCAGCCTGGCTCTTGCTCTGGTGATTCTCCTTCATCTGGCACATACAATATCCTCTTCACTAGCCATCTCTACACCTGCATTACGAAAGTGCGATAGTGAGTATGAGAACAAAGATGCAAAGAAAGTACAAGAAGACAAACCAACGAAAAGGACAGACCAGCCACCCTGTGCATCAACCCGCCGAGCATCAGCATCTCCAAGCATGTATACACAGTTACGTCTATCTTGTGGATCATGCTTAGAGCCGACCTTTCCTTCCAAGTAAGCACCAACCATTGAGGCTGGGGCACTCTCGTTCTTGGCTCTTATAGCACGACCGAGAAGGGGAGACCCCTAGGATAGTGTACACAGAAAAAAGTCTCCTTCTAGTGCTTTACAGAGGAAGGAGCCCCGACCAGCACTTTGACGTCCTTCCTAGTCGAGAAATAGTAATAGCCCTGCTGATGAGGTTTGAGCTGAAGAAGGAAGCTCACCATACCTAGGGTCAACTCGATATCACGGACGGCGCGGTAGGACAGAAGGCCGACCAAAAACCTAAAGGAGTTCAGCATTAGTTGCACCGGCAGTACTCGGTACCATGCAAGTACCTCGGCAATCCCTTCGTTCAAAGGAAACCTCAGCCCGTCCTCCAAACTATTCTCGTACACACAAAGTTCGTTGGGTCGAGCATCGGTTGCCATTTCACCGGGCTACGGGCACCTCATTCGGAAATCCTTGAGGATGTCATACATAGCTCGGATTCGAGCCATACCCTCGAGGCCCAAAGCACAGGGTGTGGTGCCAAACCGGTTACCAGCCCACAGCGGAAGCTCGGCTTCTACGCTAGAGGGACCGACCTTGGCCTCCAGAACCTTGGCATCCTCAAAAACCCCAACCTTGGACTCGTAATCGAACCCACTAGAACTAGAAGATCTAGAAGCGGAAGAAGAATGGGAAGATGAGGAAGAAATCTTATTGAACTTGAAGTCGAGGAATAAAAATAAAGCGCCAAGCAACGATGACAACACCCTGTCGAGCTATCCAAGCAACTCCTCTCGCAAATGGCGAAGGGAGAATGCCCTTCTCCCCTTCTTATAGCCCACAGGGATGCGAATCGACGCCAGATCTACGGCAAAGATCAAGTGCCACCCTGAGAAAGCTCGGGAAGACCAATCAACGCGACTGTTACCGCATGTGCAAAGCCTCGGAAATCGAAGCGGCGACCTTGACAAGCAACGACCAGGGCATTAATTGCTCTGGCTCACCCTGCAGCAGCAGTCCAACCACCGACGTGCGTGCTAGAGTTTCACCCAGACCCACCGGGTCAACCAGCTACCCTAATTTCCTCGGGACACCCAACAGCAAAGAAGGCCTTACTTTGTCCCAGCTGAGCTTCCCACTCTTCGACTTCGGAACTGGGGGAGTGGTGCTCGGATACCGAAATTTCAAGAACAAGTTCCTCAGCCAAAGAGCATACCCTCAACTTCGAAGCTCGACAGACCACAATCGAGCTTCACAATAGCTCGGTACCTACGAAGCCCCCAACTTCGAAGCTCGGTAGACCACAACCGAGCATCATAATAGCTCAGCACCGGCAAGGCCCTCAGCTTTGAAGATCAGCAAGCCACAATCGAACATCTCGGCAAGTCATAGCCAAGTATCGCAATGACCTCGGTCCCACAGCCCGACAACCCCAAAGGAACCCATCTCCGCAGCTCAGCGCCCCATGGCCGAGCATCACAACCTCAATTCCAGAGTTCGGCCTCCGATCGGCAGCAAAAGGTCTTTCCTCGGCATATGGTCGAGCTAAGCTCTAACTTCGGAAGCTCGACACATCATAGCCGAGCATTATAGCAGCCTCAACTCCAAAATATTGACCCAACTCCAAAGCTCAACTTCCACTTGGAATTAGAGCCATTCCTCGACTCCACCAGGATGAACTTGGGAGCTTAGTTCGACACCTCGACTCCCTGCCGAGCTACGCAACCGCGCAACACTTTGGGCCAAGCACTCCCCATCCTCGGTGGCAAAACTGGGGGAGTGGTGTTCGGATTCCAAAGTTAGAGCTCTTAGAGTTCTACAGCCAATAATGGAAAGATTCCTCGGCCATTTTCCATATTGCTCGGTTCTCAAGATTGCGACAGGTGCCGAGGAACACCAAAGGGGCTAGACGCCCATCCAGACATCAACTTGAAGTTCTCAAGCCGAAGAACGAATTGGACTATTTCATTCCTCGACTTCAGAACTGGGGGAGTGGTGTTCGGGCCATGGCTGAGTTGGCCCTGTGAGACGCGTGGCCGCCCGACTATCACCCTACCACATCATCCTAGCTCTGCCACGTCAACCTAGCTCGGCCAAGCTATGCTATTACTGTGGCCCCCCATCTTATCCTTCCAGCCACGTCAACTACACGTCATATGGATGAGTACAACTACAGATAAGGAGGAATAAGGAAAGACGACTCCGGTGGGGAATGGGACTCTATCCCGAATACATCGGCGGCTAACCTCATCCCGACAACCCCAGAAGCCCAATCCGATCAGGACACGTATCTTCGGCTATAAAAAGGTACTCCATGCTCAAGGTAAGGGATCTCCATCTTCTAACACCCATACTACTAATTAGCTCGGACCAACATCCCTATAGCTCGACTCGGCCATCCATCATGTCCTACTGACTTGAGCGTCGTAGTCCTTACTTGGGGATAACTTCTGTTTCCTTGATCACAGGTCTTGAAGCGTGGCCTCATCCTTGTAGCTCGGCCCCGCCCAGACAGCAAGGACTATCTGGTTGCTCTCCTCAGTTCGTGCACCACTTCAGATTGATCAGCATCAGTTGTATTGTTTTTATTCCTCAATATAATAGCAGCAAATGTGCTTTAGCTTATTTTTCCTAATATTGAAATAAATAAGAGATTTCTTTTTGGTTACTGACATGAGATGGTAATTTTTTCATCCAAGTTCTTCTCTCTCATTTTTTTAGGTTTTATTTTTCTTAACATGAAATTTAAGTTGAAATACCTGAGCTTTAGTTTCGCTTTGCCGTTTATATCAAAACCAACAACATAAGGCTTGGGAACCAAAATTTTATTACAACTGTTACATCTAGCATCTGTTTGGCATCGATGTCGTTGCTCCAGAAAACAGTGATGCATCAGCGCCACATCGAAAAAAACGGTGCTCCAAGAAATGCCTATTTGTTTGGAACCATTTTTCCACAAAAACGATGCTACAAGCCACGCCTTGGAAATCGAGATGGCATGGCTTAGAGCAACGTCAAATTTGGCATTTCTTGGAGCTGCAGCTTGTTGTGGCCAACAAGGACATGAGGTGGCAGTGACAGGGGCATGACATGGCACTAGATAATAGGTATCAGTGCTGAAAACATTTCTTGGAGCATTGGTACCAAACAGAAAACATTGTTGCTCCAGGAAACGTCCTACTTGGCAACAACGTTTATAAACAAGAAAAAGACACCGTTTTCTCAGAAAGTGGTGCTTCCAACCCACACATTATTAGAAAATGATGTTGTATTTGCAGCATCGATGCCAAACATATACCTAGGGAATTGATTTTTTTTTTTGTGGTAGATGTTTGTCTTGAGAAAAACAAAACTATTCACTATTTCTAGTCCTTTTTTTGGCTCAGTTTGAAAGTTGTACAAATACAAACATGTAGAGTGCAAAACATTATATTTTGTATGTATTCGCACTATACATATTTGTATTTATACTCTTTCTAAATTGATCCTATAACTCAGTTTGGAAGGAGTACAGATACAAATATGTAGAGTGTAAAACCTTGTATTTTGTATTATTATTATTTTTTTATGTATTTGCATCACATATTTATATTTATACTCTTTCTAAAATGAGCCTATACAACTATCATTATTTATTAAGTGGCCATTTGGCAAGTCTTTTTGGGAAGATCTTTGATAGCTCTAATAGTCAAAAGACATATTGATCTTTTGCATGAAGATCTAAACAGCCCGAAGCTAGTCTAGTTACCACACCTCTTTTCGTGCATTTTTCTATGTCTATCCACATGAATATAAAGCAAGAAAGATGCAAAAACCGAAGCTTTTTGAAATCAGCTCAAAATGGACTTTTCGTGTTCTTCATTCATTTTCATCGCCAGATTTTCTTTTACACGAAATAGAAATTATTTTTCATTTTCAATGATTTAACTGAGTTACCGGATATTTATAGTTCTATGTCCAAGAAAAGAATTTCCATAACATTTTCTATAATCATCTTAAAATTGTTACAAGTTGTAAACTGAATTCAGTATATTCAACTACAAAATTCAGCAAAAATAAGTCAATAATTATAATTTTCAAAACGAACTCGGACGGCGTTGTACTCGGTTGGGTGAGGTAAACCAGACGAGTCTACAACTCCATCCCGAGTCAACCACCGTGTTCTTCTCCAACATTTGTCTCACTACTATTTGGTCCGATCTCTGTCGGATCCATTCTTACTGGCGATCCCGCACTCGTAATGCCAGAAGTCCCCCAAAAACGTCTTCGCAGCATCCAAACTTGGAAAATATGTTGGTTCCAAGAAGATCTGAGACAGCGCATCAGAAGAATCCATATACACCAGAGCTCGATTTCCTTTTACTTCCAAGCTGCCCATCACCATCCCTATTAGCTGCCGATACGAGAAGAAGAACCTTTTCAGAGCATTTTCGATGGCCTGCAACGCCTGAAGTAGATCGATTTTCTCGATATCTTCCTTTCTATGTCCATGATATAGCTTCATTGCTGCTTCTTGAATCCTCGGCCCTCCCTTTGGGTCTACTTCCACGCCTAAGATCGCCGGGACCTTGTGCTTCAGATCCTTCGAAGATTTGATGGTTCCAATCAGTGTCTTGGACCGGAAGCAAAAGGCTTCGGATTCCACCGATGCTTTGATACCGAGTTGGTTCTTCAAGCGGAGAAAATCGTCCGGATCCATAAGAAGATGGAGATCCTCCACCTCTGTGAGAAGTTTCCAGATTCGTTCAAGTAACCAGCAATCGCTTGCTGCTCTTTCGAAATTCTGGGCATCTATTCTTTCACCGATACGTCGGAGAAGCTCCCGAGATACGAAGATCCATGATTCCAATATCTGGTGAGTAGTAAAGAGGGTCTGGTTCTCGTGGTTGTCGAGATTCTTTTGATCGGATGGGCTTTTCTTAAGGGAATGGAGATCGGAGGGCTTGCAGATGAGATCGTACTCCAGGTTAGGTTTCCCGGCAAGGTTCGGCTCGCCCAAACCTAACGTGAATGGACACTTCTGCATCTGGCACTCGATGGCGAAGAAGATCTTGGTAGCGATATCCTCTGATTTCTGCCAGGTAGCTAGCCGAGGAAGCAAGCTTGCTTCGCTGGCTCGACTCACGACGGGAGTTCCACCCGGATGCTTCCACACAGCCGAGCTCCTATCACGAGCCAAGACACCGTTAGATGAGCTGACATCGACGATAGGCGCAGTTCCACGAGTCTCGGCGACTTGGACATCATCTTCAAAGAGGAGGGCGATGAGCTCGATCTGGCGAGTAGTCAGGGACTCGAGTCGACGTTTCCACTCGCGCTGGTTGACGTACGGTCTAGGATCGGATAAGACGAGCGAGATAAACCGGAACGTGATTTCGAGGGCTTGCAACGCCGGTTTGAGAATGGATTCGTTCTTCCAGCCGGGAAACTCTTTGGACGTCCATAGCCTGCAGAGATCAGGGAGGCGAAGATATTGTTCGTAAGCAAGACAAGCAGATGACGGGGCAGCGGATAAATCGGTGACGACGACACGAAGCGGAGAGGGGAGCGAAACGCGAGACTTATTGGAGAGTTTCGGTGATGTGCAGGACATATCGGACGATACCATCTTTGTTTTCCAATCCAAATCGAGCATTTTTTTTCTATATTTAAATTTTGGATAAATTTGAAAAAAAAAAAAAAACGAGTCAAAGACGAGAAGAAGAGAACTGTGATGAACTCAGAGAGAAGGAGAAGAGGGAGAAGGCTATTTATAGCTACCAGGGGGAGAGAGGCGCGTTATGAGAAAGCCGGTGTGAGCAGGTCGAGAACATTCAAAGTCGCGGCGGTGAAGAGAATTTTCAAAATTTAAATTATATTAAAAAAAATAATAATATCCAAAAGGCTGAAGGCATAAAGAAAGAGAAAAGAAACGAAGATAGGGTAAACCCGCAAAAGAGCTTATCCATAAGACCCAACCCACACGGCTATATTTCCTGGGCATATTATTTTATTTGAATTGACGGAAATACCCTTTTACCAGATAGACAGATGCATTCCGAATTTTCCACGGTGTGTTGGAATACATAGACAATAGACGTGTTTTGGACCGAGGTCGTTGTTTTTATGTTTCTCGTTTGAATTCTTCTTACCAGAAGTTCCAAATTCCGGCTTTCATCGGATGCTTCCTCCACATTCCCATTTTTCTCATGTTCACCCTGCCTTAGAGTTGGTCTAAAAACTCCGGCTGGCTGAAAGCCTATAATAAAAGCTAAAACGGCCCATCATTTCCCAAATTTACAGATTTGCCATTGAATTTTAAAGGATTGAGAGAGCAAGAAAAACATTACCTGAGACTGAGAATAATACAGCGAGTGAATTGTTTGATGTGTTGCATTTATTGCAAATGGTGGTTTGACAGTTCGTTCATTTTTCACTAGGGGTCGTTGAATTGTTTTGCGACCATATGGTTGCGGGTAATGCGACCTCGGCTTTGGAATGGGTTCCCTTGTATAATCACATGAAGCAAAAATTCTACACACTTTGCTATTGCAAGTAGAGTCATCCAACAGAGTTTTTGCCTGTAAGACATCCCCCACCCCCAAACTGTGGTGTATCCAGGATTTGATCCAATGGGCAAAATGTGTTTTCTAATTCCATTCGAGCAAATGAAAATGCAACGCACTTTGCCTAAATAATTTTCATTCAATCGGATGATTATAGAGTTTAAGAGGCTCCCACTTGAGGAGGCACATTTAATCAGTTTATTCTTGTCACATGGGATTTATGCCAACTATTATAGCTTCTTATGCATTGAATACAAATTAATGCATGATGAGTTATGAGTTATTGAGGGGCCCAGTTCACAGCTCATCTACCGTAGTAGTCTATATATTATATATTAGAGAAAGATACATTGCACTAATTTACGATCACTTGAAGAGCATGACCAGAAACAAGAAATATGGTATGGTACTACCATGCGTGGTCGATTCCAGAATTTCTTTTTTCTTTTTTGAAAAGCTAGTGTCACTACAAGTCAGATATTAAGATTATTACTGTTGCGCTCCTGTCTCACTTTTCAGTTATATGTTGGAGTAATATCTCGGCCATTCTTGGTTTCATGAGATCACCATCTAAAGTTGATAAAACACTCCCACTATCAATTCCACAATGGTCCTCTGCAAGGAATCTCTTGGAGTTTAGATACTTTAACTATTGCCTTGATCATTCCATAGCTTTTGCAAAAGCTAATTCCTCAATCCAGCATAAAATTGTGGAAGTCTTTAAGTGCCCAAATAAATTTCATAACTGATTGTTTTGAAGCATTTTGTTCGATAGAATTTGAGATCTTTTAGTTTTTCTTTGGTCAAATTTAAAAATGTGTAAAATTCTTCTTAGTTTCCAACAGAAATCAGTTGGACAATTAACCCAGTATTCCATTCAGCCATTAATGAGAATATCAAAAACCTACTTGATTCTAGAAGGTGATCCCTTTAACCAACCTAATTGCCTTGCCACACCTTTAAGCATCAATATGCATGTAAAACACAAACATTTTTATTTGTTGTCCAACGAGTGTCCATCAATTAACCATCTCATAAGAAATGTTTACAAATAGCGATAAGTCATTGATCAAAATGTTCATTTTGTTTGGTTTCTAGCATTGAAACAATCCAAAGCATGCCACATGATCCTAACACTAGCAACACAAGTCCCGGTACATGATTGAGAATCAAATATTTGAAAAACATAAGAAAATAAAACTATGGATTGAAATCATGAAAGCACACCTTAATTTATAAGAGGAGCTTTTCAAGCTCATAAAATTCAAGTCAATAACAAATTCAAGAATTGACCACAACTCGGGATTAAAATTAACCATAGAAAACATCATCATAATTGCGACACAGAAAAACCTAGAAAATAAATAGCAACTAAAAAATTAAAACTTTCATATAGCTAAAACATTAGGCTCAGTTTGGAAGGAATACAAATACAAATATGTAGAGACTCCTTTCAAACAGAGCCTTAGGGTAAAGAAGGAAAGGATAATTCATCAGTTCAATTTATTATTGATTGACAACTAATAGGCTATTTAAAGAAAAATCCATTATTTTTTTATTTTATTTTCCTTTTTGTAAATTGTCATAACATTACTTTTTAATGTATACACCTAGTGCGTAGCACCTTGTTGTATAGGAGGCTTTTGCTTTACCTTTCCACAAGATAGATAGCAATGAACCAACAAACATAAAAGAAACCAAATTAGATAAATGAAATAAAGATAGATTAAAGATATAGTAAGTGACCTATCAGATCTATAAATCAGCAGGGAAAGAAATAACCATTAAGGGGGCGTTCTTTTTTTAGTTTTATGTGAGGACCAGGGAAAGTTTATTTTCCTGTGTATCACTTACCCAGGAAAGTGATACCATAACTTTCTCAAGGTTCAAAGTATCGTTACGTATCAGCCCATATCGGTCAATACGTATCATTCCGGGACCCTTCCGATACCCCCCTACAGTGGGTGTATCGGGGGTCTGACCGGTTCAGAGGATAGAGGGGTCCTAGACCGGCTCCCCTGAACTAGTTTTGAAAAAAAAATAAAAAAGGTAAAAAAGCGAGTATCAAAACGCCCGATACGCCCCTACCGGCATATCGGGCGTATTGATATTTTGAACCTTGAACTTTCCCATATAGGGGGAAAGTTACCAACACTTGAATGGAACAAAAATGCCCCTTTTTATAATGGATTTCTATGGCTAAAATGGTCATTGCCTTATTTACTTGAGAAATAAAAGAACATGGGTAAATCCACTTACCTGGGTAAGTGTTTCCCAAAAAAATCTTACCCAGATAATTACATTTACTCGGGTAAATAACATACCGAAAAGCGAACGGGGCCTAAAGGAAATGGCCTCATTGATAGAATAAAAGAAAAAACAATTTAAAACACATGTCAAAAATATCTTTTTAACCTTTCAAACCTGAAACCAAAATAGCCATTAAAGAGCAATGATAAAATCATGTAGCCAATTAAAACAACATGCAATATAATATAAAATTGAATGCTAAAATAACAATCCATACCATGTTTCACAAAAGAGGATACTATAGTCCCCTAAAATCCACAAATTTAAATAATATAAATTTCAAAATAACCATTCAAAGAGTCAAAGTCAAAACTCTCCTAAAATCAGCATATAATATTAATTTAAATGCAAAAGAAACCAATTAAAACAATAACCATGTAGGTTCTTGACCTGTTTCACAAAATAGAAGACAAAGACTGCACGGCCCCTTAAAATCCATAAACTCAAATAATATAAATTTCAAAGTAAGCCTTAGCCTTAGTAACAAGGTGGATAGATTACATCTATGAAGAATATATCTCACCATCTTACCCTTTAAGTAGTCTTCCCTATAATATTATTCCTTTAACCTAATGACCGACATTATTATTTTACTTGAAGATGAGGTCTTATACCACCATTCAATCAAAGCCTTGGATTAATAACCACAATTGACCCCATGGGTGAATCACCTATTAACAGTCACAATGGGCTACCCTCCACTGTATATCCCCATAGAACAGAAATAAATCAATAAAACTTGTCCTTCAAATATTAAATTTGTAAAATATCTATCACATTGGAGATTGAACAATGTTCCAAAACTTATAATTTTATGAAAATTCAGTGGATGGAAATTGTTGGGTGACAATTGGTTAAGAAAAGTGAACTCTTCCAAAACTTGGAGGATTGATATTTAAGGCATGATCTTTGAGGTAAATAGGAGACGGCTTGGATAAAAATATCAATGGAATGAGTCATCTCAATGCATCAAACACAAAGAGGTAAGGTAAACATTCAATTGTAATCTATTTGGGCCAAGAAAACCACCATGGATTTTTACAACTCTTGGATACCTAAAGTTGATTTTATCAATTAAAGGAAAAATGTCTTTGCAGCAATCAATTGAACACATGGAGCATGTTTTAGGCTAGGAACCACTTAATCTGCAGGTGCATGTAGTTGAAGTTTGAATATGCATGACTAAGTTTAATCCGATGGGTTCTACAACATCCTTTATTTTTTATTATAGAGAAATAATTAAGAATACATTGGGTAGAAATACCGTACATGCTATGCAACTCTCTACTGCAAGCTATTGGAATGCTAGAACTAGAAGTTAAGGGCCTTTGATTGGTATATTGGGCAGAATTACTTTACATGCTAGATAATTCTTAGGCTATATTCGCTTTTCAGCAAGTTAGATAAATGCAGTTATATGGGTAAGTTTTTGTTGGGAAACACTTACTGGGGTAAGTGTATTTATCCATGTTCTTTTATTTCTCATGTAAATAAGGCAAAGACCATTTTAGCTATAAAAATCCATTATTAAATGGGGCATTTTTGTCCCATTCAAGTGTTGCCTTTCCCTTTAGGTGGGAAAATTATTTGCCCACCTAGGAGATGGGTATCACTTACCTAGGTAAGTTGTACCCAAGAAAATAAACTTTCCCTAGTCCCCACAGAAATCTGAAAAAAGAACATGGGATTTTGAATAAACTTTTTCTAGTCTCCACATAAATCTGAAAAAAGAACATGGGATTTTTGGTCAATGGGAATCAAAATCCCATTGACCAACTTTCCCCCTCTCAAAATCCGAAAAAAGAACGCCCCCCTTAATTAGCAAGATGCTGGAATGCGAAAACCACGTTTATGGAGTCTGATTCGTCCTACAAACATGATAATGG